CTCAAGGCCGTTTCGCAAGCATGGTGAGTATACCTTGTAGTAAGAACACTGCATTAAGTTACTGACCTGTTGGATGTCAACAGTCCCTAAGTAGCATCTGTAAAACAATGGCTTGTGTCAAAGGATATCTGACAAGTTGGGCTAAAAACCGTAGAATGATATGCAAGTAAACTCTCACCTCTTACAGCTTATGTATTGGTATTCTGATTGCTTCACAGTAGTAACAATGCTAATTCTATCAATGCTTGAAAATTTAATTTGAAGTGAAGAAAATATTTCAACAGTTACACTTACTTAAAATGTACAGTCTGTTGCCTCTTAGCAATGAGCAGTGATAACAGCTGTTTCCGCAATGAAATAGTAAATAGTTGTAATGCCTTTTTCAGCTTCTGCGTTAGGAATGAGATTAAAGCTGTAATTTTTCCTTAGTTGGATTCTTTTTTTAAAATTGGGAGCGTGTGAAGAGGTAATTACTGCTTGGAAGAAAAAAAGATAGTTGATGTCTCTGTTTTACGTTTTTGAAATTGAATTTAAATTTGAGGCATTTTTAAGAAAACTTTATCAAATGCATGATCGGTGTCCCCCACCCCATTTGATGTGTGTGTGTGAAATCGTGAGCTTCATAAGTATCCAAATTTGTGTCTCTTAACAGGAGTTGTCCCTCTGGCTACCTATATGCGCATCTACAAGAAGGGTGATATAGTTGATATCAAGGTACTTTCTACAGTGCTATGTAATTAAAAGCTAAAGCAGTGTAATCTTTACAGTCTCCAGTTTCTTGAGGTAGTCTTTGTTGTTACTCAGGTCATGTGTGTCAACACAAGTACCCGCTGCTCACTTTTGAAGCAATAATGCAATGACAATGCTGGTTAACCAATAGTAATGCTTCAGTGTCACATACTGGTTTATGTGGGTTTTTTATATATATATGTGTGTGTGTATATATATATTTTTATATATATTTGGCTGTGCCAAATATACATTACTGTGTATTCAGCTGAAAAAAGTGAGTGAAAGATGCCATATCTAATACTCGGGTTGCTGTATGGTGCCTACCAGCACTACTTTCATAGGAACCCCAGCTGTCATTTTAGTAGATGTTCTGTTTTGTCTGATTTGCACCTGCGGTTCAGAAGAGCCATAGTTTATGGTGGTGTAGCTGGTAGTTATGTCTGTGTCTCTGTATCATTGTAGGACTATACTTAAAGTAAGTACGTACAGGGATGGTGATTGCAAAGCCACATTAAAACTAGAAACCAAGAAATAAATGTAAGGATACATCATACATATTGATAGAGGGGGGGGGAAAGTGAAGCAGCATTTCCCATCACTTGGTATTTTCTAGAACTTGTCCTTTGAAATTAACTGTACTTTCAACATTAAGTTGTAGTGAATCTGAAAGCCTTTTACCAAGGATTCCTACTTTGTTGAATCCTTTAGTTTCATTTGAAATGCAGAGTTTTCGAACAGTCACACAGAAGATGGTGTGTAATTTGTTTGTTTGTTATTTGACTCTTGGAGAACTGCACAGTTCAGAATTAACACTTCTTGACACACTGGAGCTTGATGATGATTCTCTCCTGTGATTGCTTGCTGAAAGCAAAGTGATCAGTTATTTCACCGACACTGAAAGCAACCAGAATTGTCATAGCAGAATTTGGTAGTCTTCAGATATAAAGTGCATGGTTATAAATGCCAAAGTACGACTAAAATAGGAGTAATTTTAAATTAATCTCAAGTAATTCGAAATGTGTACTTTAAATAACTTCTGAAAGAAAAGTCCTTGATACTGCTTTTTTGTTTTGTTTCAAGCTGAAGTTGACACTTAATTGTTTTATCTCTTAACAGGGTATGGGTACTGTTCAAAAAGGTATGCCCCACAAGTGTTACCATGGCAAGACTGGAAGGGTATATAATGTTACTCAGCACGCTGTGGGCATTATTGTTAACAAGCAGGTTAAGTAAGTAATGAAATTCTGTGTATTGAAACTTTGTATTTGGGAAAGTTGATCTGTAATTGCACCCTCCTTTCACTTTGCCAGTTAGACAGTTATTGTCTTGATTGGTCATTCAAGGTGGGTAAAGTATATATCCTTTTTATAACCCAAGCAAATGATGCTCATTTGACTTGGATCCTGTCAGAGGAAACAGTTCTCATTTTTCTGAGCAGTACTTAGTGACATTCCCTAATGGGGATTTTCAGCCGGCTTTCACTTTGATACTGAAGCCCTTTTTAAATATTAATTTGTAGCTGTATCCAGCTGTATTCAGCTGGGTTTTGTACTCTTTAGTCAGAAAAGGACAAGTTGTTTTTCTTCCAGTAAATGGACTGGAGTACAGTGGTAATACAATTCTTTGTTTGTACGCTACAAGGTTAAAATTACGTGTTCTCAATTTAGTCTTAATCCTAAATTGTCAACATATTGTTATATATTAATAAGCTTTCAGTTATATAAGTTATATCTGATTTGCATCTGCAGCAATGTATTTTGAGTGATTGCCCTTTAAAGAAAAATTATCTGTTATTTAGCTTATGGAGTTACTCGTGTAAGGGCTGTAAAACTAGCTTTGAAGTAGCCTTTTTTTCAAGTGCAGTAGACTAAAAACTGATTTCTTTTCTTAGGGGCAAGATTCTTGCCAAGAGAATTAATGTGCGTATTGAGCATATTAAACATTCCAAGAGCAGAGACAGCTTTCTGCAGCGTGTGAAGGAGAATGAAAGGAAGAAAAAGGAAGCAAAAGAAAAAGGCATTTGGGTTCAACTGAAACGTCAGGTAATATTTTTTATTGTAGTTGACACATTTTTGATACAGTTCACCAAAAAAACCCCAGCTAGAACCAAACAAGTTGAGTAAAATGGTTTCTTCCAAAACGACAGTGTGTTATGCTGTAAACTGAGCTCTTTCTGTCTGTCTTCAGCAAAAAAACCCACCTCACATTAATGATGAAGCTGCTACAGTATTCTGAAAAATCCAGGTCTCTGGCAGGTTTTGTTGGAGATATCTGTTGCTACCACCCTCACTTGGGTTCGCAATCCTTTGCGGGAGGTTACTGGTTTTTTTGGAGTAGAGTGGCAGCATGCAGTGTGTCTGCATCTGAGCTGTCTGTCTGGTGCCTGAACAGAACTGCGCTGTTCCTGGATGGAAACTGTATCCTTGGCTGTGAACAAAGGGATGGATGCTTTCTGTTCTGTTGCTGATCTCCAGCAGAAGCTCTGGCTGACTTCTAGGATCGGTGTTTGTCTTTGGTTTAGTTGAATTTAGCTGCAACAGTTTCTGTTGCAACCCTTGAAGAAAACAATGAATAACTAGACTTTAGAGAGGAGATAATGGCTGTTGCTTCCGGAACCTCAGGGTACATCACCTCATGATAATTTGGATTAGTAAATTGCAGAGGGTAAAGTGTAGGTTTTTTCATTCAGCAATGAAAGTCAAGCACACTTGCGAGCAGATCATTTTCTTACTGCTATTCTTTGAATCAAATTTTAAAGAGACTAGGAATGGTAAAAGTGCTGTAATGTTTATATAATAATGTGTTAAATGGTTGTCAAAATGAGTTTTGTGTAAGGTTTCTTTTGAGTTTTAGTGCCATGAGTTTTCTTTTTTCTTTTTCTGTTTACAGCCTGCTCCACCAAGAGAAGCACACTTTGTGAGAACTAATGGCAAGGATCCAGAGCTGCTGGAGCCAATTCCCTATGAATTCATGGCATAATGCATGTTTAAAAAAATAAACTGAAGATCTGGTTTTGGACAAGTGTATGTGATTGTAGCTGATTCCTTTAGGTTTTTTGGAACAGATGCTTTAGAAAACTTTTGTTTTACTGAAATTTGTTTATTTAAGTTGCGTTACATAGTGCTTGGTCATTTAAATCATGTGCAGCTTTTGATGATCATTTACATAGACTATAAATCGTGGGGACACTGACATTTGCTAATAGTTACTGATGTTCATCCTTCTTTGATTACCTGATGAGGTAATATGAGAGGACATGGAATATTTCACCAACAAACTAAGGGTGTATACCAAGAATTGTACAATGTCACTTGGAGGTTTAATTTTTTTGTGGGAAAAGGGATAAGGGGCTTCAGATTTCATTGACAAAAACTTTTGTCTAAGAGGCCTCAGATTAATACCAAAGAAAAATTGTGGAAAGAGTTTTTGGAAGCAACCTCTTGAGAAATGGCTGTGGGTGGATTTTGGTGTTTCACCATTGTAACCTGTAAAAGAAGGATTTTTAGGACATCCTCAGGCCAATAAGCGTTCTTATGAAATAGTTGTTTAGAAACAAGGCTTTAATTTCAAAACTGCCAGCCTTTGTAATTTGATTTTTATCATTCAAATTAGCTGCCATAGCTGAACACCTGCATTTTGTTTATTGCATGTCTGTTGAATCTCAACATCTACCTGGATGTTCTAATGCATTCCTCTCATCCCATGGATTTTATTGACGATTCACAAAAACCCAGTGCTACCTGCCCAGTGTTTCTTGAATGGAAGAAATCTTCAGCCGACTGCTTACTAACCAATGCTATTTTTGTGAGCTTTGTTTGAAACCGTGTGAAGCTTGCTAAAGAAACTGCTGAAGGTAACCTGCTAGTTAGCTTTGAACAGGCATAAACTCAAGCTTAACTGTGTTATAGCTATGGATAAATAATATTTTACCTTTCTAAGTGTGTTGTAAGGCATCGCTTAGCTACCTCAAGTAAGTGATGTAAAACTAATGTCTACATGTAGAGAGAGTAAAATACTAGAGAAGGTAGTGACTTCAAGCAAATTGTAGGTATTGACTGTTGAAAATTGTTGGAACAGTCCATTGCAGGACAGCTAGTAAGTTTGGGAGTAAGAAATGGAGAGGTAATGAGGTTTCCTTTTTCCCTTAGTTCTGAAGTGCCTTAAGCAGAAGTGTCAAACTGTACAGAGTGCTTATAAATTAAGGGATTAATGCCTGTTTGCATTTACCTAACTTTCGGTTGTGGGTGTTCCCATTCTCATGGAATGTAGTTTTTGGACGGTGAAGTCATTGTCTGGCTTGGCCTGGTATTTAAGGGTGGCAGGCTTTAGGCACTGGAGGTTCAGAGTTGCAGTGAGCAGGTACTGCGTTTGAAGTTTCTCCAAGCTCCCGTCTCGGAAGGTGGAGTAGGCTGTATAGTTGGAATAACTTTGGAAATGCCTTGAAGAAGATGGAACAAAGCTTACCCATCAACAGACTGATATGTGATATTAGTACTGTATTTTGACACCGCATATATCGGGCATGGAGCGCACCACCATCTTCTGAAGCAAGGCTGATGAATCTATCTTAACTTTCACTGTTGCAGCTTATGCACTTAGCTTTTATGATCAAGTGGGGTTTTCTTGGAGCAGCAAGATCTGTATACTAAGCCTTAGACCTTTATTAGCTGCTTTGGCTTGGGGATTTCCACAGTAATTTAAAATCGGTATTTGAATCACAAGATGAGCGTCGTTTTCCATTAGGTTTTGTGTCTGAAGGAGTTAAGTGGGAGGTTTTACTGGGTACGATCTTTGGTGATGGTATTTTAAATTTTATTCTCATGCATGCTTGTGTAAGTTATTTTGGTTCTATGTTTGTTTGGTACTTACCTGTCAAGATTCAAGTGGATTAGCTGTAGCACCATGGTGAAATGGTTAACAGTAACTGTAAGTGGTGGGTAGTTCTAAACTTCTGAATTTGGAATAATAAGACTAGAGAGCATGCAGTGGTCTCATTTAAGAGCTGTGCTTCCAGAGGCGCTGTGCATTGCAACAGTTTTCAATTTATTTAGTCTCTGTTTTTAAGGTCACTATGCTCACAGTAGATGCTCTAAATGCATATTTGGAAGCTGTGTGTGGGCTGGGAGGAGAAGGAGGGAATGCTTTCCTTGGTCAGGATTCCCAGAAATGACTGAAAATGAAACTGGGTTTGTATAGCAAGAGAACGGTGGTTTTTTTTTTTTAATGGTTGAAAACAAGACAAATTAACTAAGGTTTAACCTTGTTAAACCTTGTCCTGGGTTTATAGATGCTATTTGTTAGTTGCTTTCAGTGCAGCAGTGGTTTTCCTGGTAACCTCAGGTTTGCAGAAGCACAGCTCGGATGTTTACAGGTCTCGGTATCTGCTGTTGAAGTTTGCTTCCCGTGTGTTCAACCGCCCTGTTTTTGTGTAGACATGACAAAAGAGGGAGATCTGTGAATTGAGAAAAGCTGTTGAACTGCCTGTCGGGACATCTTCAATCATGAAACTAATGTCTAAATTGAAATGCATCCATCTTGATAGAAGAGAATGGTTTTAGGTGTATGCAGAACTTGCAGAAGATTTGGGAGGGAAGGGAGTGATTTTGGCAGTTCAGCCTTTCTGCCCCTCTGGGCGGAGGAAGCATGTTTCCTTATGGTCAAGTTGCAAGTTCCTCTCCTCTTAGACTCACTCTAGAAGGGGTTTTACACACTAGACCCATAAGCTGTAACCAGTTCTCTGCGGTCCTGTTCTGAGGCTGTGCCTAGCAAGGAAAACTTTGCAGCGAGCGTGACAGCTACAGGCTAGGTGTTTCCTCTCTTCATACCATGACAGAGTTGAATTTTGTTCATTCCACAATGCTTTGAATTGTGGAGAACTATTGTGAAATGTGCAAAGCTATAGGTTTCCCATATAATTGGACACACCTTGAGCCAGCAGAATTCAGGAGTCCCGGTTTCGCAGAAGTTCAGTGTTACATGTTAGCTGTCTTCAAGTCCCCATCTAGCACAGAGACTTCATTATTCCAGAGCTGGTGGACAGGCTGTCCCTGTACAACATGCAGAGAGTGAAGTGCTCATGGATTAGCACAAGCCGTTGCACTTCAGTGTAGTGTTTTGTCTCCATTCCACAAAGCCTAATTAGGAGGTGGGGGCTGAGCTGTCTCCTCCTTACCAAGTTTTACTGCCTTGAACCATTGCAGCTGGTTCCCTGCCAAAGGCCCTGCCAGAATTTCCCGTCTTCTCTTAGAGAAGAAGCAAGGAAGCCTTCTCCTGAGCTGTCAGCTTGGTCTTTTTTAGCGTGTTGGTGACACCGAGGTCTGAGGCTTCCTCAGTATTAGTGCCGATACTGTGTGTGGCCAGGAAGGGTCAGTGAAAGGGCTGGGGAGGAGGAGCCATGCCTGTGCAAAGGGGCTGCAGGCTGAGGACCCCAGGAGGGAGCAGGTGAAGCGTGCATGCCTGAGGGGGGCGAGGGATGAGCAGACACTTCCAGCTCCATTCCTCCGGGGGGAGGCAGGGAAGCAGCTGCCACGAGGACGTACAAACAATTCATTCTTTTATAATCTTCCCGTTGTATGTATCAGATAAGGGAAACAGTCTTGATGTTCACTCCCTTGTCCTCGGTGCAATCCTGGACTTGGCATGTTCGTGGCCCTCGGGATCAAAAGGATGGCTGGCATCCCAGACGCATGCTGTGCTGGGGTGTCCCGACTGGTCCGGAGGATGCCAAGAGCTGTGCGTACAGCTGCCAGAGAATGTGATCCTTCCTATCGCAGCACAGGCAGGCAGGCTCCCTCCGCCCTTGCAAGGTGCAGTGGGTTCTGTAATTCAGGGTGTGTGCTGAAAAGACATGGTTAAACTGGGCTTATTGTCTGGGTAGTACTCATGACGCGGGTGTGGGTAGTGTCTCCCACAGTGCGGGGGGCATCCTACTGCTGCAAACAGTCTCCTTGCATGGGAAGAAGGTACCAGCAACCCCTGTGATTCTGAGGGTGGTGGTATGGAAGACACAGATGATAAGCATTTCATGTCCATGCATCTACCTCAGTGGATTTACTGCCAAGGTCTATAGAAGAATCGAGTTGTAGCTGCTGGGGTTTACATAGTCACAACCATCCTGGCTCAAGTGTTGGGTAGGAATGTGGCTCCCAGCAGCAGCGCCCGTACAGCTGAAGAACCCAGAAAATACAAAGCTCTGGTTGAGGTTGCTGATTTCATTTTTCACTATTTGGAGAAAGAGGCTTCAGGTGATGGCCCCTGGGCCCTCAGTCACCTTTTTGTCCATGCCCACTCCAAACTGTTTAGCCGTTGACCGGCAGGAACTGGGGAGCGTAAGGAACAGTTGCAACCTTGAACATGGGCTCGTGTTCCTGAAAGTTCATAGTAGAGTGGTGAAGCCATGCCAGCTCACAGCAAAGCTTCTCACCAGAGCTTCTCCACATGGAAAAGCTTTGTGCCTGCTGCTCCTTGTCTCATGTGGTCCTGCCAATCTTAAGCCCAGAACTTCCAGCTGACTCCACAACATCAGCAAAGATGCCCAGGAGAACGCTCTGCATTTTGTTTCTTAGAAAAGAGCTCCAGAGGCTCCCAGGATGTCCTCTCTGCCGCAGCCACAGGAGTAAGCTGCCTACTCCCTCCCCCAAAAGTACCTGCTGTTGAATGTTACCAGAGCTTGGAATGGGGAGGTGGGTCAGGCAGCCCTATGGTGTCCCTGGGATTCCATGAGTAGGACTGAGTGATGTTGCTGTGTGAGAGGGGATAGTGATAGACTATAGGGATGGTGGCATGGGCCACCTGCATGGGATGGGTTAAAGTACAGCCTCGCGCTTCCAAGTAGGACCTCCAGCCGAGAAAGGAAAGGCTCCTTGGAACAGCTTTGAGGCCCGTACATCCCAGGGTTCACTTGGCCCACAGAACAGGGACAGCTAATCTGAGCCCCCACATGTGAGGAATCTGAGCCCTGAAACGCTCCTGTTGCACCAGAGTTAGGTGTTGACGGAGAGACAGCCCATTGCTC